AATTTCTTTCACCTTTTGGAATTCTTTCCCCAAACCCGTGTTTGCAGAGATAAAGCACAAACCCTGCAATAACCTCCCAAACCCTATTTTTGTCCCACCTCCTGAATTGAACCAGCCCTGAAAGGCGGATTTTAAGCTCAGCTCACTGATATTCCCCTCAAATCCCTAAATTTCTTTCACCTTTTGGGATTCTTGCCCCAAACCCACCTGTGTTTGTAGAGATAAAGCACAAACCCTGCAATAATCAGGGCGATGAAAGGCACAAGGATGGCGGCTGCCACGGAGCTGCTGTTGGATGCAAAGTGGTGGCCGATGGATTCAGGATCATTTTCCATCATGCTGATGTCTGCAACACAGCAGAAATGAACACATTTCCTTCACTTTCCTTTCACATTTCCCACATTTCCAAAGCCCTGCTGGGGGAAAAGGCCTTGGCTCAAAGTACAGGTGGCACCAGCAGCAAAATGAGTGAAGTGGTGCTGGAAAATGGAATTTAAAAAGGGATGGAGCTCCAGCCTATTAGGGCTCATCATTTATTTACATCTGCAATTAAAGAGAGATATAAATTGATTTATTTTGCCAAAAAAAGTCCAACTTGGATGCATGAAGTTGGGCTTTGAGGAGACTCTGAAATGCTGCAAAAACGAGCATCCATAAAGGTGATGAGATTCCAGCAATCCTGAGGGATTAAAGAGCTCAAACCATGCTTCAAGTGGTATTTAGGGGCTTAAACTCTGGGGGGTTTAAGCTCCCAAGAATCTCTGTGATTTCTGATGGAGACACTTGCTGTGGTGAGAACAGGATTTGGGCTTGGCAGGGATCTGGGAATTTGGTAAAAAAAAACCATCCAGGTATTGTTTGTGCTTCCAAACTCTCCCTGCTTTGGACAGCAGCCTGGTTATCCCTCATTTTATTCCCAAATTATAAATGTTATCCTTGTGATGTTTTTGTGCTGTTTGTTTTGTGCTGTTTGTCTCCCACAAACCTCACACCAAGTTCAGCCGAACTCGGAAAGCGCGGAAAATTCAAGCCAGGGGTTGGAGAAACATTCCCAGCCTGGAAACCCCAACCAGAGCAAAATGGAGCTGCTGGAATCGAGGGGAAAAGTGCAAATCCAAGGAATTTTACCAAGTCTCTGGAGGCCAAACTGCCCGAAGCCTTTGCCACGCACAAAGCCCTGGTACACGAAGGTGCCACTCGAGGACTCCGACGAGACCTGTGGAGAGTGGAAATCAATGGCTTTATCCAATTTTTCCCTGGATTTAACACCCAGCTCATCCCAGCCCCTTCCAAGCGCATTAATTTGATGCAATTCCCCAGAAAATCCTGGCATTTTTAAAGGAGTTTCACCACCCAACAGCTGAAAATTCTCCATTCTCAAAGGAAGGGAAGCTAAAAAAATTTTGCTTGTGATAAACTGGAGAGGACATTGCTGATTCCAGAGGGAGAGGGAGAAAAGTGGCCATGGGTCAGTCGGATCCACATTTTTTCCAAGCTCCTTTGGATCCCTAAAGGGTTTGGGAAACTCCCAGACACAGGTAAAGGGTGAGGAGCAGGGAAAATCAGCTTTTCCAGCAAGATGTTGAGCAGATGTAAAAACACCCACAGGGAACAAATCCCGTTGGTTTCTCCTCCAGCATCATCTGGGAGATGATGGATTCCAAACCCCCGGACAATAAAACCAACCCCCAGCTGCAGGAGGAGCTGTCACCTGCTGGAAAAGTGCCACATGTCCCCTCCCAGCTCTGGGAATCATCCCTCAGCTCCAGGGAAGGGAAATCCAGGCTGGGACAGCCAAGGGAGGGTGGGTTTTGTTCACTCACGTGCCCATCCAGGGCCCATTTATCATTCCTGAACTTGTTGGCAAAGATCTCCAGTGGCCCCATGATCTGGTACACCTGGAGCAGCAGGTGCACATCTTCCTTCTTGTAAATCCCTGGGGAAAAAAAAAAAAAGGGATTTTGTCAGCTGTGGTTTGAAATAATTGAGTGGGAGAGCAGAGAAACCACGTCAGGATCTGAGTGGACACCAGCCCTGGTGGTGGGAAACACAGCCCATGATATTGAAGATATTTTCTTCCTGGGAAAGGACTCAACTCAATATTTAATTTATATTCAGGAGGGCAGGGACACGGAGCACTCATGGAATCAGGAGCTGGAAGGGACCCCCAAGGATCATCAAAGTCCAGCTCATATAATTTCATGGTTTTTTGCCCAAATCTCCAAGTCCTGCTTTGGACATCTCCAGGGATGGGCGCTCCAAACATCCCTGGGCAGCTTCAAGGTGTTTCCATGGAGAAATATTCCCTAAAATCCAACCTGGCACAGATTGAGGCTGCTTCATCCTGGGAGCAAAGCCTGACCCCTCTCCTGTTGGGGGGTTGTGGGGAGCCCCCTGAGCCCCATCAGGAATTCTCCAAATCCTTTTCCAGCTCCATTCCCTTCTCTGGACACTCTCCAGCCCCTCAGTGTCTCTCTGGCCATGAGTGACCAGAGCTGGACACAGCCCTAGAGGTGCCCCAGTGTTGCAGACAGGAAGAGAAATTATAAAAGAAAGGCCTCATAAAATCAGGCCTAAATTAATAGCTGCAAGTTCCCATGAGAAAACAATCTTGGTATGAAAGATTCATTAACACAAAAATCTATTCCTAGAGTGAGAAATAATTGCACCAGTATAAACAATAAGAGCTGTCTCATGAGAATCAGTAGAAAAAATATGTAAACTAACTAAAAATACAGAAGTTTGACAAATATGCAAAAATACCTTGTACTGACCCATAAATTAAGCATGAATGTATTGTCCACCATTAAGATTTGACACAGTACTGATAATACTATAAAATATAACCTGTTATATATATAGGTTATATTTTATAGTATTATATATAATATAACCTCTCATAATCCCATAAAATATGACCTATCCAATCCAGAATTGGCTTTTATCACAACATCCCAGCAGTGCTCTTGGGTTTTGGTTGTTAATTGCTGCCCCAAAATGTGCAGGATGTCTCTGCTTCAGCCCGTGCAACTGAAGAACGAGTCTGGACTCTTCACTTTTCGGTCTTGAGGTTGTTTATTAATTCCTATCTATAAAATTTTCTTTCTGCCCAGCTGAGATCTGCTCAGCAGGGCAGCCACAGGCACTCTGTGTTGTCCTTTTATACTACAAACTATGTATAACATATTTACACTTAATTCCCAATACCCATCACCTGTGTTAGACAGTGCACTTCTACTCTAAACCAACCCCAAAGTGCCAACACCACTGCAGAAAATGGAGAACAAGAAGAAGAAGGAGAAGAAGAAGAAGAAGAAGAAGAAGAAGAAGAAGAAGAAGAAGAAGAAGAAGAAGAAGAAGGAGAAAGGCTGGACACGCCCAAGTTCCTCCATCTTGTCCCCAAAACCCCCATACCAAAAATCCTAAAATCTACATTTCCACGCTGTGATAATTTTATTATTACACTATTCAAACCTGTGTGACTTTCAGGTCCTCATACAAAGCTGGTAACTTGCTCCAGGGGTCACAATCAAATCCCCAGGTGCTCTGGGCTGTGTGCCAGGGTCTCCGAGCCCCTCAATGGGGTCCTGGCAACTCTGGACATCCAGAGGGATGTGCTGAATTTCCCACACAGGGAATGGCCCTGGCAGTGCCAATGCCACCCCTCCCAAAGGTCACCTTGTGTGTCCCTCACCTGACACCTGGAGCTCCACCCCGCTGTGGTCGATCAAGGTGGCGTTGACCTTGCTGGTGGCAGGGTCGAAGCTGGTGACAGAGAGCATGGCTGGCTGCTTCTTCCCCATGTACTCGTAGGAGCCTTTCCACAGGGAATTCCTTGCAAACACGTCCGCAGGCACTGGAATTACAGCAGTGGGAGATGTGAAAAAAAACCAACCCAGCAGCGTTTCCATTTTTTCAGGGAAAAACCACAACAGAGCAGGATTTCTGTCTTTGAATTCACTGATAATAATTAGATTGCTTTAAATATTTAATATTTTAAAAATATTTTTTGTTTTAAATCCCACCCACTCTGAGCCATCACTATGAGGGACAAAGCCAAAACCAGTAACTTTAACTTGGCTGTTGAGACCAAAAACACAAGGATAGTTTAAAAAACAAACCAGCCCCCAAAATAATTTATTAGGAAAAGTTCAAACAAACTTATTAGGAAAACTTAAAATAAAAAAGGATGAATGTAAAGGAAGGGCTGGAATGCTGTGGGGAGGAATACGGATGTTAATGTTCAGCTCCTGTAAGGATCCTGTTTGTTCTCCAGGGAATAGGATGGGGCATGTGGCAGTTTCAGTGTGAAAAATGCATGCATTTTATGATTGGCTTTTCGCAAATATTCAAATGAATATTATATGTGTTGTGTTAGAAAGTGATGCTGTATTAGTTCTCTTAAGTAGTGTGGTAAATATAGTTTTAGGTTATAAAAAATGGTAAAATAGAAATGATGCTATGTTGGATACTTATTTAAAGAAAGGACTTGCACTGAGATAGCAGCCACAGGACACCTGAATCTTTCAGAGAAACAGAATTTATTCCTCTTATCAGAAGAAACGAACCTCTTCCCGCCTCTAAGGCACTGTTAGGATTTAGAGGAAGAAGCTGGCACTGCCCAGACAGAATCCTGTGTTTCAATGGAATTTAAGCATCATGTATGAGGTGTATGAATGTGCAACAGGCTGTTGCTTTTAAGGGCTAATCCTCTGTTAACGTGGGTCCTTTTCTGAGTACCCAGACTGTCTGTAACTCTTTGTTTCTATTGTCTCATATTGTCCTAATCCAAATTGTCCAATTCATTATTACTCAAATTATATTACTATTTTTATAACCATTTTATTACCATTAAATTTTTAAAATTTTAAAACCAAGTGACTGGCATTTTTCACACA